GCGGCGTCCGGGATTTGAACACTCAACCTTTTGCGAGAGGAAGAGTGCCCTTTCCAACAGCGCCACCCAGGCGGGTGGTCTACAAATCTTACTTTTGACATCCTTTTATCATAAACTAGCGATTCACTTCAAATAAGGATAAAAAAAGATATTCTTGAGTTTTAATCTAGTCATTATGAAAATTGAACTAAACTTTCAACCAAAAAATATTGCACCGGATAAGGTTATCCATATTCTAATATAAAAATAAAATAAAATTCACAACTATGCTAGTACTTTTCAAACTCTTATTTTCTAATTTTTCCATCATATATACATTTTAACTAAATTTTACTTTTAAAAACTTACATGCTGCCTCTTGAGCGTTTAACCTTAAGCATTTTCCTTTTGTTTAACTTTATAAAGGAATTTCTTTCTTAGTAATTAAACACAAATATGGGTCCAACACATTCATAGAAATAACACAAGTGATAACATTCTAAGAGATCATAATTGACAACAGTTATATGTTAAATTGATTAAAGTAATAAACGTAAAAATACCGATACGGTAATAAAACACATAGCTCAAGGTATGTCCACACAAAGCGCACGCTTTTTAATTGATTAATGACTAGACAAGAAACATTTATCTCTCAATATGACTATATATAATTCGTATAAGTATGAATACATGACCGTTGAGAAGATTAAATCTTTTATTTTAAGTGAAATACTAATGTGATAATTCACTTTTGGTGTGTTTTGAAAGATTAATTCACAAAGTTAAATTTGAAATACTTCGCCAGCTAAAATCATTTCAATGATACTCTTTATTATTTTCTCTCAATCGGCAAGAAAAAACATTATTATTTCACTTTTCATTCAATTTATTATGCGGTGCTCTTTCTTGTATGTAATGATAATAAAATATTAATTAAGTCAATTATGTTGAATTCTTTCGCCCCCTCTCCATTAAAACTCTTGAAGAATTTTAAGCATGTGTCATGCTAAGTGCTAATTGAAGAATTTTAGAGGAGTTAAACGGGGATAACAAAATACAAGCCGAAGGACTAAATTGTATGAACTTTCTATGACTCTTAAAATTGAAGGGGCAAAGTGAAACTTCCCATGGAGTTTGAACCTTTCTTTTTAACCTATATTTACATAGTCTTCATCCGGACTTCGAGATGTTAAAATAAGAAAGTATTTCAATCCTGAAAAATAAATACCGAGGAGGGATTGGGGGTATACAGGTAGACCGGTCGCCGGATTGTTAAACAAAGTGTTGTAGCCTGCGCAAGTGAAAACAACCATCTTTGGTGAGGTAAACCTAACCAAACACCAAGGATCCAAGGTCGCCCCGGTAAGGTTAAGAACTACATTGTATTATCTTTTCGAAGTCTGGAGTTTAATTTCATAGTCACGAGAGAATCTAATAATAACAAAACTTTAAATCACATGCTTCATCAGTTGCAGCTCAAGAACTTCTCATATGGTTCCATATGTCTATTAATTTCTTCTGTGAAGATGCAAGACTTATTAGATCGTTCATAAAAAAATAGAGAGGCTCACATAGTGTCCGGATTATGGAAACAGATGTTACATGGTATTTAGTCATGATCCATAAAAAAAATTAAAATAAATAATTCATCACTTTATATAAGAAATCCCAGCCTAATCCGGCGATTTCACATAATATCTTTTTCTGTTTTTTTGTTTGTTTTAAACTTCTTTTGTTTTTGATCTTTTGGGGGCATCAGATGGCCAAATACTATGAACACAGTCCAGGAAACATAGCAAATGAAAAGTCTCTGGATTAGTCAAAGGCCCATCATTTGAGATGCCATGATTGGCTTATCAGCACGCCTCTCTCTCTCTCTCTCTCTCTCTCTCTGATACAAACAATATGATGAGTCCAACATGATTAAATATTTATGCAAAATTTAACCCCACCATCAATTGGAAATAAAAAGTACAAATTCTGTGTCACAAAATTCAACCGAAAAATTTGATCTCATAAGAGAAGTAAAGCCACGTGTATACAAAACCATATGAACGAACAAAAATAAATCGGGATGAAATTAGCTCCGATACCATTTATGTTAAATGGGTCCCAACCCAAAAACATAAGACCTTACAAGTGAGGAGATACGTTTGTTTCCCGAAAAATAAACAAATCGAAAAATATTTTTTTAGAAATGATTCATTATATCGCTTATAAATATGAATAAAAGCAAAAAATTTCATCGTGTACAAAAGTTTTTAGATATAAATTATTTTCGATAATAAAAAAATTTATTGACTAATTATTTTAAGCACTATAAACGATTATATCTAAAAAAATTTAAATAATTTATTTTTCGTGAAATAAATGTAACTTAAATAGCATACAATATTTAAGGCCCAATTCAAAAAAAAAAACCCCAAACTTTACACTTTGTCCCAATTATACCCTGAACTTTTTTTTGTCTCAAGAAAAACCTCAAACTTTTCTCTGAGTTCCAAATCTACCCTACCGTTATAACTCCGTCCAATTAACGTCAGAAAAAAAAAAAAAAAAAAAAAACAGAACAGCAGCTGCGGCGTGGCCAAGCCTTCGCCGGTGGCCGCCGAGAATGAGCGGCGGCCTCGCTCGGGCCTTCCCGAAGGCCGGCGACCCTCGCCGCCCCGGCGAGTCGCCGGCGAGGGCTGTGCCCCGATCTGGGGGCGGGGCGCGACCTCGCCCCGGATCGAGGCGGAGGCCTCGCCGGCGATCTCGCCCGGCCGGCTGAGGGTCGCCGACCCAGAGCGAGGCCTCGCCCGGGCCTCCCGAAGGCGGCGACCTCGCCGGCGGATTGCGTGCCTCCCAACGGGGCGAGGTCGTGCCCTCCCCCAGATCGGGGCCCGCAGCCCTCGCGGCGACTCGCCCGGGCCGCGAGGAGGTCGCCGCCTTCGGGAAGGCCCAGCGAGAGGCCGCCGCTCCTTCCCTATGGCCGTGGCGACGGCCACCTGGCGAAGGCTGCTCGCCACGCCGCACCGCCTTTCTTTTTTTTTTTTTTTTTTTTTCTCGACTTTAATTGGACAGAGTTATAACGGTAGGGTAGATTTGGGACTCGGAGAAAAGTTTGAGATTTTTCTTGAGACAAAAAAAAGTTCAGGGTATAATCGGGACAAAATGTAAAATTTGGGGTTTTTTTTGGAATTAGGTCCAATATTTAATATGCAAGCAAAGTGAATACTCTAGTATCTTGACCATTTCAGCTGCAGGTCAAGAAAGAAAGCTTTAGCGTAGAGGAAAGAGAAGAGGGAAAAGTCAAAGAAAGGTTTTCATCATTTGTGAGCACGAGGACGATGTCTGACAGACTGACACCCCACTTTTTTTCCCGCATAAAGCACCTCCCTCTTTTTTAAATTTGTTGCTCAGAAACAATAATGACCTGAAAGTCATGTTGAATCCCTTTTTATTTTATTTTATTTTATTTTTATAAATATATTCCATTTGGGTGAAAAAAATCCGGTTTCTCATTCAAACTTTTGAACTGCTCCGTTTGAAAAGAAGATGGAAGGCGCGTTATTTTACTCTTCACCAAAGCAAATATTCTTTTCTGCTAAAAATTTTAAGATATATATTTAAATTTTATTTAATTATAATAAAAAAATTATCATATTTATATGTTTGAAATGTATCGGGTTTTTCAGATTTAAAAAGTTAAAGTATTTGCACCGCAAGATTGCATACAATGAAAGTATTTCATGTGATTTTAGGTTTTACGTACAGAAATAAAGTAAAAAACAAAAGTTTATTTAGCCACGTATTACGTCTAGAGATTATGGCTAGGAGAAAATTAAAATATTCTTTTTCGATAAGTAAAGTTTGAATGACATAAGGCTGAAAATAGATAGATAATTATGAAGCTCAAGATATTAACTCCAAAGGGCTAGAGAACTTTCATATAGGTCTACATATGAATAGGATACAGACTAGGTTAATTAGTTTGCAAGACGCTCTAGTTATGTAATTTCAAGCTCAACTTAATCAAAAACTCGAGCTATTTAAACTCATCTTCACAGAAAATTGGAATTAAATTTGAGAAATTAACAAGTTACATTCTGTAAAATAGTTCATAAGTAAATAACATGTCCATATCCTGTCTTTAGAAAACAACAATCCATTTCAACCTCAGATTTTGCACAACCAAACCTTCAAGCCCATTTAGGGAAAATTGAGTTCGTCCTGATTAAGAAGAACTCGAACCTAGCTTGGCTCAATTCAGGTTTTGATTCTCACTTTAGAACTACCATTTGATCCAAGAACTAGACTAACCGAGTTAGTTCCGGGGCTAAAAACGGACCACCCAATCGGTTGTAGTATGGAGCCGCTCCTTATATTGGTCTAAAAATAACACATTTACCTTAGCCATTGGATCCTATCCTCTTTAGATCTTGTGTCCTTATAATCGAGCCTCTAGTTAGTTATGTCCCTCTTATACTTACTATAAATTTTGAAACTAAAAGAAAAAGATAATAATACGAAAAGAATGATCTATTTTAGATAAAATCAGAATTTGATCGATTCAATTCCCAATTTCAAGCTCCCTTGAGTTGATCCTCTCGGACACATTACATGTGAAGTATATCCATTCAGAAGATGCACGATCCTCTTTAACTTTTACGTACGGTAACATCGATTCCATTAGTCTCGACTCACAAATGTGGCTTCCTAATGATAATGGAAGACTATATGAACAATCGATCTACCCAAAAGAGACTTCCAGTCTTCAAAATGAACGAGAAAGCATCAATTTCTTTTCGACAAAAGAACAGAAAAGAGCACAAGAAAAGGGCATCAGGCGAAACAGTGCACAGTGGCTGCCCTTTCGAAAAAAACAAAAAACAAAACACAAAAATTTCCCTTGGTTTCACGTGGTTTGCTGCCACCACGCAAGTGCACGAAGGCTTTTTTTTCCCCTTATTTTCTCGATAATTAAAATATGCTTGTGCCAATTATTCACATTAGCTGTTCATGGAGAATCACAATCATTCACTCCGAAAATTTCCCAAATTTCCCATTAATCAATCAATAAATTGCATAATTTACAAAATTAAAGACAAAAGATCCATATCAATAGCTTCTCGGACCTCATCTTCGCTTGATTCAGCTCGAATTGCAGCTTCTATCGTGCCTCGCCGGACATTGCCTCCGCTCCGGTGCGAACTCGGGACGACTAGGTGGGACGCGGTCTATCTCCACTCGTTTCTTTGCCATCTCCATTAGGAATTCTCATCCGGAGCAACTCTTTCGCATCCGACCCCCCTCTCTCGATCTCGACCCGAATATAATCACATTACAATTATTCCCCCAAAATTAAGGGGAAATAAAAGAGAAAAAAAATATCAAAGTTTCTTAGAGAAAAAAAAAAAGTGTAAACCCCCAACCTCAGCCACCTTTACTCGGTCAACTCGTGTTCCAAACCGGAGCGGGGATATCCTTGCTCGGACCAAGTCGAACCCGGGCCGGAGCTGCCGCATTCCGCTTCGCCGCCATTTCCGAGCACCAGAGCTCGAGGAATGCTCGGCATACAAGTCGTGTTTACTCGAACCGATTTGCGATATCATACGCGACCTGCGATCGCCCGTCGTCCCTGCATGAGCGCCGAGACGACGACGAGGCGATCGTTCGTGGCATCGGTCCCTCGTAAACGCTTTGTATGTCCCTAGCGGGGGATTCACCAGATGGTCTTCTCGGCGAGCCCGTGGAGCAGCGGCCGGGACTCGGGCCAGAAGTCGAGGCGGCCGGCGTGGCAGTAGTGCCGCTGGAAGTCCTCGAGGTTGGCGGACCGGGCGTGGCAGTCGGGCCGGGAGACGAAGCGGAGGACCTCCTCGAAGAAGGACTCGTCGCAGGGGATGGTGAGGGGCCCGTGGTTGGCGAACCCGTACTCCTCCTCCGCCTGGACGAGGAGCTTCCGGAAGATGGGGTGGTTCAGGTGCGTCGCCCGCACCACGAACCGCCGGCACCCCTCCCCCACGCACACTACCACGTGACCCGCCGGCACATCGGACGGGACGCGGGCCCCCCCTCCGATGGCGGTGGCTGCGGAGGACGCCCGCGCCTTGCTCCGCCACCGCCGCAGCATCTGCCGCAGCCTCACGATGTGGCGGATCTTGCTGCATTTCCCGATTCCGGCCGACATTTTCTCCCCCGGAAAGTGATGGAAAGTTCTCTGGTTTTCCCGGGAATCTCGTCTGCAGGAAGGTCTTGCTTCTGGGTCGTCTTCTTCTTCTTCTTCTTCGTCGTCGTCGGATCTGGTTAACGTCGGAGTGATTAGAGAGAGAAATTCGATGAGGGTTTCGTGGAGTGAGAGCGGGAGGGCGTTTTATAAGGGTGGGATTCCGGAATTGCCCTCGAGCTTTGCGGGAAATTACGAGATTCTATGTGGGGTCGGGCCAGTGTCGAAGGGCAGTGATTGGACAGATTATGGGTGGGATTTTGCTTTGGACTAGGACTTCGATTGTTCGTATGCGCATGGAGGAGGTTAAAAAATGATGTGATTTGGTGAGAGGAACACGGTTAATTGCTCCACATTGAATGTGGATTCTATTGTTACTTTGAGAATTCTTCTTGCTATAACGGGAAGAAAATCTACCACGCCTCTTGCTTTTTAGTCACAATCGCAAAGCTTCTGATTTTCGGGTCTCGAATTATTCTGTTCATTAATCTTGTGAGATTTTATAAAATCGCTGCTAATTGTTCGAAAAGTAAGCTATTAAATGAAGGTGTAATTTGATATTTAAATATTCAAACACTGTCCATTATGCTTAGTCGGGACTTTGACTTATTATTGAGCGTGAAAATATATAATAGGGGGGTAAATAAGAGGTTTGGAAAAAAATTTAAACACAAGACCTCCTGCTCTAATATTATGTATCACTATTTGGACAACCCAATGGAAGAAATAACAAAGGTGAAACATGATATGGAGTCAACACATTAGACGAGCTCGGTTGGAACTATTCTGCAATTGACTCCATATCAATTGGGTGGTTTAACGGTTAAATATTGTAACAAATCTCAAAGGCACAATGGAGAGCAAGCATGAGCGTGTGTGGTCTGGTATCGAACTGTAATATCTTACGAAAGAGTCTATGTGGATTCACAATATGAAGACATCAAGAGAATTCGGGGATTTGACTTAGAAAACCAACGATAGAGATTTTCTTCCCCTCCTCAACAAGCGCAAACAAGTCCATGCTTTAGCTATTCACTCGGGGCTCTCGCTCACGTGTTATCTAACTCACGAGATTAGTAGGGTATTTTCATGGGTTATGAGAATTACATTTCCAAAATCGGTTGGCATACCTAATGTAATTTATGCCCTAGGTAGCTTATCATGCAAGAATATCTGCCGTTGGTGGATGTGAATTGGCCGGTTAATCGAGTACATTCATGATCGATAGCGTTGAAAAATCTACATTGGAGTAAATCCACCTACCAAGGACAATAGTTGACCCGACGACCCAAGAGTAATGGTGACGTGACACGTTGGTCGCCACAAAATGTTGGGCGATATGATTTTTTACCTGGTTAATTAGTTGAATTCTCCTGCCCTTCTCTTCTATATTTAGTTCAGATTTCATAATCAGGGTTGAGAAAGTTGGTAACATCTTTAGGTTGATGATGAGTCCTCCTTTTAAGAGAATATAAAGATATTCCCAAAACTAGGGTATGTTAACAAGTTTTCGTTAGCACAGATACAATCTTAGACCTGATTACTAAAAGGGACTGTCAATTCGAACCGTCTTAACATTCGTATAATAATGATTGTGAGTAAATATTTTTCATATATTTTAATTGGTTCTTTAAATTGTCTTTCATATTCCCTTCAACCTTTCATATTTCGGACCATATATAGTGTAGAATAGTTTAATTCCTCGAGGAAAAAAAGAGTTAACATCTTAAAAACTAGAGAATTTCCTTAATTGGATGCTTAACAAGTGCGTATTCTTTAACGAATTGCCTTGATAAAGTACACCTTTTATTATAAGAATTTTGTTAGTAAGTGCCCTTAGGACACTAGTTAAATAACAGATTAAGAAAATTATGTAATTTCCAATGCACTAAGGCTGCGCATGGCAATCATTCTGTGCCCATAATCTGATTCTGGGCAGAAATGATTTTTTTTTATTTTGTGCCCGGAAACAATTTCTAAGCATTTGAAGGCGTTTGGTAACTGTCCAAAATTTTTGTTCTTAGAATAGAAAAAGAACAGAAATGCATTTGATAACTACACAAAATTTCTTTTTATTAATAATATTTTGAATTTTTTAATATTTATTTCTTTTTTTTTCTTTCTTTCCCCTTCTTTCTTGGCCATGGCCGGCCGCCAGCGCCGGCGATCGGCCACAGGCCAGGGCCAGCGAGGGCGTCATGGCCCTCGCTGCCACCCTCGCCGGTGATGACGGTGAGGTTGGCCTCGCCTTGGCTGGGTGAGGCCGCGAGCCGCCCTCGCCCAAGCGGCGAGGGCCACGACGCCCTTGTTGGCCCTAGCCTGTGGCCGGTCGCCGACGGCCAGCAGCCGGTGGCCGACGGCCAGCAGCCGGTGGCTGGTAGGTGGCGGGGCCGAAAAGCAACAACAACCAAAAGAAAAGAAAAAAACCAAGAAGAATCAGTTCTGAAAAAAAATTGTTCCAGAATCAAGAAGCTACTTTTATTCCCAGAATCAGTTTGAGAACAGAAATCCGTTTGTTAAATTTTTTGAACCCGGGCACAATTTTGTTCCCAAACTGATTCTGGGAATAAAAGAACAGAATCAATCACTATTTAGCAAGTTGCCAAACAGGTCCTAAGAGTCCTCGAGCTATGCACAATTATGGCTTTAAAAAATGGATCATTCCAAATCAAGTATACTCAACGAGTACCTACGAGGCACTCATTAATTGCAACCCCTGTTGTAATAACTAAAATGCAATTTGTCCGAGGTGTTGCTCCGTCGAAACATTTTGAAAAATTTTAGGATTTTGTGGCACGAAAGTGTACCCCATACGGTAATTTTGGAATCCCTGCAATCGTCATCCTTGAAAAGTGCGTGCGCTGCCTCAAAAAATAACCTATCTATCCTTGCAATTTTTGCTTCGACGCAAGAGATCATTTCGTAAATTAAGTGTACTCCGTCAAGCCAATTATTTCTTAAGAATGCTCAGAACCATTTTTTGTAATCCTACTAAAAAAACACAAATTTTCATGTAGCTCATACACTGTGGCATCTCACAACTATTTATCTTTTTTTTTTAAAAAAAAATCATCAAAAACCCTAAATTATGTTTACTGTGATACATTTATCCTTCTCTTTTTCTATGACATAAAGAACCTCAAAATATACACACTATGACACATTTATTCTCAACTTTTTCTTATGACATCAAAAATCCTAAACTTGTACTTATGTGACATATTTATCATCCGTCAAGGCTCCTTCAGATGATATTCTAGCCAAAGCGACATCATTTTTATTTCACTTAATCCACGTGGGCGCCGTGTTTACACCGTTTGCCATCTGTCTTCCATGTAGGCATATTCATTGACGGAAGGTAAGTGCATCACACATGTACAAAGATGAAAGTTTTAGTATCACAATTGATATAGTTTGAATTTTTGGGAGGGTTTTTTCTCCTTTCTTTTTTGAAAAAAAAAAAGGAGTGGTAACATATTTGGTGTTCGTTAATGCGCCTCCAACTGTTTGTGCCCTAAAACTACCTGTCTCAACTTCCCACTCTCGGGAAAGGAAGCGCCCGGAGAAGCAGCCGACTATACGTTGAACAAACGACACCGCTGAACACTAGGAAGGATAAGGTCACTTTTATTGACCCCAAAATCATTTAATTAAAAAACAAAACCCCAAAAATAAAATGAATAAATAAATAAATAAATAAAGTTCTATGAACATTTGCTAAATATTTAAATCAGCCGTCAAGGCCTACCTAATCTTAAAAGGGAACAATCAGATAAGAAAACAACAGATTTTGCGCTGTCCTTCCTTGAGGAATTGCCTTTTCTTTATCGCACGGAGTGTGGGAAATTGAAGCTGGAACAAAAACTTAATAAAGAAAAAAGAGAAAGAATAACCCACCACATGCATTGTTGGAATTAGGGTTTTGAAGTGGTTGAGTTGATCTACTCACTTACCCACTAGAATAGTTAACAAGACAACCCAAAAAACAAAAATTGCTAAAACTATTCTTTTATGTATTGATTCTTGTATATAATTTTGGACCGCGATCGCGGTCCAATTTTGTCGGTGAGGGTGAAGGCTCGATTCTTATTAGATGGGATTTTGTACGAATTAGAAACTCCCATATGAAGTTACCTGTTGAGAGTAATCCTTCGTTCCGTCGATGCTCGATGCGATCTCTCAATCCACATCATCAGGATGATCTGCCTATGTTCCTAGAGATAAGTCGTGCCAAAAGTATATTGTTAAAGAATGATGCACAAGATATATTCGGTACAGCCACATGAAGATGGGACATTATGTATTGTTATAATACAAAGTACGCTACAAGCGATACTCTAATATCGATAGTTCAAGTTGGATTAGAGTAAGAGGTTTTGGTTTTAATTTCTTACACCCGTTTTCACGCATTCATGCGCTCCTTTCTTTGTATGCCCCATCTTTCAACAATTGTTCACTCACAGCGACGCAACAGGGTTTACGCTGCATTACCATCAAATCCGTCGTCGCAGGAGGAGGAGTGTGTAGCATGAAATATACTTTACATCTCAACAACGCTATGACCTCCCAAGTAACTGTCGTATTCCAATCAATAAGAAAGTGCTACACGACATACTCATACATCCCAAGTACAGACATAGAAATTTCCTAGTTTCCACGATTTAAAAAGTTTCATGTCGTTTTTTAGGAATATTGTAGCTAATCATTTCTTTATATTTCCCAACTGAAGATGCTTCTGTTTCCTAGAGAGAGAGAGAGAGAGAGAGAGAGAGAGAGAGAAGAAACAAATTTTAGAAAATATTCTTCAGCTTCGCCAAATCTGACCATACCCCATGTGCAGGGATGCCCCATCTCTCTCTTTTTTTAAAGCCCCAAAACAAAATGCCAAAAATTGTTCCCTCCTAACTACAATACTGTCCTACCATAGAGAATCCTACCCAATCAAAGTTCAGTTAATATTTTTACTAATTTCCCTTTTTTTTCCTAATTAGATGAACAGGCATAGGACTTGTGGCACTTAGAAAGGACATCAATCATCAATCATTTTTCATTATTCCCCTACCTTAAAGATCTCCTAGGTCTAATGTCACTACTGTGGAAGAGCATGCTATGGTCAAG